AAGACGGGATGCCCTCCGAACACACTCGAATACCTAGGCACCCACAACCAGCACACCTGTCGCATCGACAACAAAGTTGCAGAAGGCATCATCAATGCACCGTGAAGCAAAAACGCTCCAAGGCCATCGATATGCGCTTCTACTTGCTGCAAGACCGCGTCAACCAGAACCAGTACACCGTGTACTGGCAACCAGGCTCCCTCAACCTTGCAGACCCCTCCAAACACCACCAGCTAAGCATCACCAACGGTGTACGGATGCGACCAACCTACCTGTATGAGCCTGACACCACACACAGCTCCACAATGCTTCACAAGCCAACAACATCAACACAACTCCGTACTCCTTGTGCGAGGGTGTGTTAAAGTCCCAATACCACTGCGACATTGACCCTTATATCCACCAGAAGCACGTCCCACCAAGCCAACCAGCCTGACTGGCCGGCTCGCGGGACCGTCACATAGATGTAGATCCGGCAGATCCCCAACGGTCATTTACCAATGACAACGGGGACAGCCACCAAAGCCAATAGCTCATAATTGTTTCTAACCTCCAGTTAAACCCTTAGAGCTATTGACTTCAATACTTTGTCTTCTTCTGTTCATTTCAAATTGGGCTTGTTTGTGTTGAGGCTTTCGTCTTTTTAGAAGAACAAAATGTGACGGTTAAATTGTCATGGCTCTTTGAACTTCAACTTGCTGTAGCGTATGTACCAGAGCTATCGTACGCCAAATCAGACGAGCAGGGCCCGACGACGTGACAGTCACTCCAACGAGTTCAAGACAGCAGAATCGCTGGAGTAGCAAGTGGAAAGCTGTGCATATCTACTAGCTAGTAGGAACTCAAACTCATGACACAAGCTCCAGACCACCGCGGAAGCAACCGAAATTGAACGAATTCTGAAGAGCATGCGAACATGTTGGTGGTTATTCTTTTATAATATGTCTACCGTACCGATGTGGAGCATTGCTGGAATACTGCCTGCTCCCATGGTTGGTAGGGGTTCCACTCATGTGCTCGCTGATACTTTTGTCATAGCCCAACTCTCCTCATGGCGCTCTGACTGTGATGATTGAAACATTCAGTTCCTTGTCAACAAGATCAAGTTTTGAATTTTTCACGTGTGTAACCATTCTCGCACACATTATTCATTTTTGTTTAGTCTTCGTGCAATTCAATCATGTAGAGATCCACCAAGATTGCAAAGGCACGTTCCCCCAAATCCTCAATGGATGCATACTTATCCTTCAACTTTGCCCCCTGTAATGGCGACTTGGGCTGCTTTCGTGCTTCAATGATGTGATAGGGCAGCCCTCTGAATGCGCCAACTGCTTCCTCTTCAATCCTTTTTCTACGTGCGGCTTCCTCCTGCTCTGCCTTGATTGCCGATGCTTCCTCTTCTGCTTTAATCCTAGTTGCTTCGTCTTCTTCCGCCTTGATCCTAGCCGCTTCGTCTTCTTCCGCTTGGATTCTAGCCTCCTCTTCTTCCGCCTTCTCTCTCTCTTCTTCTTCTGCCCTCCCTCTCGCCACTTCGTTTGCTCGTGCTGTTAGACTTGCTGCCTTGGCTTCAGCCACTGCCTCTGCATCCATCCCATCCGTGGCATCGCCTAGAGCCTTTACAAGTTCAGGCTGTTCTTCTTCTTCTGGTTGCACAGTAGTAGGTGTTTCCACCGTCTGAGGCCTTTCCAAGGTCGCCGTTGTGCTGGGTCCATTCCCAAACTTGTAGGTAATTTCAAACTCAGGTGGTGACCTTTCACTGGTGGCTACCTTTTTCTTCTTTTTACGTTTCTTCTTGGCAGACAAACTGGTCGTTGCAACAAGGTTTGGTGTTGGTGCTTCAAACGGGATGAACTGCACCATCGGACTCGAAGAAGAGCGGGATCGAAATGGCATTGGAAGAAAGGCAGTGGCATTTTCCAGCAAGGCCAACGCCATCGTGGCCAACATCAGGGCGGCAAGGGAAGGAGACTTCATCATCATCTCTACAACACCTAAAATGACAACAGTTTGTTTCTGTGGCTATTGCAACTTTGTACTGTATGGGGAGTTACTATGGACTTTGTTGCGGGCTGCAGAGCACAACAAGAGATCTGCCGAGGTGCTGAACAGCTCGGTAGCGGCGGCATTCCTCCAGTTGCAAAATATCTCGTACGTCAGTCTCGCTTCAACCGTGTCTTAAAATGGACTCATTAGGTCACGGTCATACTCGAAACAACTCCCGCCCGTACCGGTACAGTCGTACCTGGTACCGGTACGGTGTCTGCAGTCGCAAAACACCCCCGTTGACTTGATTGAGTTTGGGCTTGGTCACATCGAGGAGGCTTTGTCAACTGCCTATTTAGTATTTGTTTCATCAGCTTCTTCCGCCTAGCTAGCTAGTACAGTAGTGATCTGGCTTGGAGCCGCTGTCTCTTGTTGACAACCAGCTTCGGAATGGTCGTCGTACCTGATACTGTGTCACCGACCGAGAAACCTTGGGGAGCCTTCGCTTCTCAAGTTCACACGAATGACCCAGCCACTCCAGTACTACCACAACCACCATCATCGTAAGCGTAGCATTCCAGGCAATTCCGCTGCTACCTGATCCTCCTGGATCCATCAGCTGGTCATCCTGGCTTGTAGCTAGCTGGTTGTCGAGGCTATGTGATGGCACCGCTAGCGCCCTACTAGCCTTGAAGTTCCCGTGAGCAAACAAACCAGTCAAGATGTATCATCTGTCCACACATGACTGGTGGCAATTGCCACTTCAAGAAGGACCATTCCGAAGCATGGGTTACCCTCACAATGTTGGACTTGCTTGGTTCTTTACCAAAAGAGTAAGGGATACATCCAGCAACAAAGTTATGGATCCTCCAGGGACAAGAGCCGAGAATTTTTTGGCCGACGGCAGAAGGTCATCTCGTCGTCTCAAAGACTCGGATACTGTTGTGGCTACCGGCGCTGTTGGAATGGCTCCCTCATCAGCACACCAGAACCATGAAGACGACCACCAACAGGCAAAGATCTTGAAAAGGGCGAACAAATGGAATAGAACTGGACATATTCTCCGGGCACAGGGCAAGTACAAGGATGCCTTCAAACTCCATGCGGGGGCCCTGAGTTTGTGCCTTTCGACAGTTGGCAAAAACCATCAAGACACCGCCACGTGTTACAATGATATGGGAGCAAAAGCACTGAGCATGGGTGACGCCAAAGGGGCGCTGGAGTGCCTTGAGAAATGTCTTGCCATCCGTGAACATGTCTTGTTCAAAGATCATCCTGCCTGGGCATCAGTGTACAACAATCTGGGGGTTGCCCTGTCCCATTTGGGCCACACCAAACACAGCCTGGAATTCCATCAAAGATGTCTAGCAATCCGTGAGCTACAAGGCAAGCACCGTCTCTCCACTGCCACTTCCTACAACAATGTGGGCCTTGCCCTCAAGGACTGCAAAGATCTGGAAGGTGCTTTGGAGTCTGGAAAAGGCCAGGGCCATCCATGAGGCCAAGCTTGACCCGTATCACCATCAGAATGCTGCATCAAACTACAACATTGGAACTGTACTAATTGGCGACTTTGGTGGTGCGATTGAAATGTTCTCAAAGAGCTGCTACTTACTATAATAGCTAGCCTCCGGCCGTGGCTTCAGAATGGCCATACCCGTACTGTGCTACTGGTTCATATCCATTGTCTTCCTAAAACCCCTAGAGCCCTTCAGTTCACAAGAAAAGACGGTGCCATTCAACCGTTGGATGCTCCACTGCTGGGATGCCGACTGGCAAGGCACGAAGATGACCCTGAGAGCTACTATGCAGAGATGGACATTGACAATCTCTTCCACGGATTCGTCCATGAGTACAACAGGAAGCGTCCAGATGGCACTGTCTTAGTGGAGGTTGCAGGCAATCCTATCTTGGCTCAGATGAAAAATGGGACCGTTGGCCTGGTCCACTGAAGGAGGAGTTGGATGCCTCGGAACATACAGAGGATGAGTTTGAGCATCAGGCCAGGAAGAGGAGAAGAACCGGGTACTAGATGCCATCCATGTGGCAATTTGTCATGTTAGGCATGGTGCCTATGCCTCTTGTTGAGGCTGTTCCATGGGCATCTGTGGTACCTGACTTCGCCTTAGTAGAAGTACTGCTCGGAGAGTAGCCAGCTACTAGCTGGCTTGAAATGCAAACTCCTCTTCTCTTCTTGGGACACAAGCTCGAGACCACGGGAAGAAACCGAAATCAGACAAAGTTCAAAAGTATAAGCAACATGTTGGAGGCTATCTTTACCTCGGCAGGTTAACTGCCTGAGTCCTCTACCCCTTTAATGGCAAATAACCTCGGCAGGTAAACTGCCTGAGTTCTCAACCCCTTTAATGCTATTTCCTATTTCCTATTCCGGTGAAGCCAAAGTATAAGGATAGAGATAGTCATAAGCCAACAAAACTGAACATTGATAGTTGAATACAAGTTAGGGGTAGGAACAAATCATTAATATTTAAGGTTAGTGCAATCATCACAACAACACAATAAGCCAGCAGGAGCTGTAAAGGTTAGAGTTACAATAAGTGAATGGCAGCTGGTAAATTATAGAGTAGCGGGCGGCAACACACGACGTAGTCGGGTGTTGTCGCCAGGGCTAGCTTAATAAAAAGAAGGCTGCAATGAGGGAATGAATGATACCGGGCGGCAACACACGACGTAGTCGGGTGTTGTCGCCAGGGCTAGCTTGAAAGATGGGTGCAATCTCGAACATGATCCTCCTTCTTCTACATGTATCTGTCTTTCTGCCGAGGTATCGCAGCTCCCGCTGACTTATTCTGTCTGTGGGATCCCCCTGGTTTTTGTCTGTGGGATCCCCTCATTTTGTGTCTGTGGGATCCCCTATTCCGGTGAAGCCAGGGTATAAGGATAGAGATAATGTAAGCTGGCAAAACTGGAAATTGAAGGTTCAATAAAAGTTAGGGGTAGGAATATATCAATGTAATTTAAGGTTAGTGCACTCAGGACAAAAACACAATCAGGTGTTGTAAATTTAGAGTTACGCAATCGAATGATAGCTGCAAATTATGGGTTAGCCCGTGGCAACGCCAATGCTAGCTTAATTAATATAAAACAGAAGGTAACAATGAGGGCATGATAGTGGGCGGCAACACACGACGAAGTCGGGCGACGAAGTCGGGTGTTGTCGCCAGGGCTAGCTTAAATAAAAAAGAAGGTTATAATGAGGGAATGATACCGGGCGGCAACACACGACGAAGTCGGGTGTTGTCGCCAGGGCTACCTTGAAAGAAGGATGCAATCTCCAACACGATCCTCTTTCTTCTATTTGTCTTTCTGCCGAGGTATCGCAGCTCCCGCTGACTTAAATGGCAAAAATTCTGTCTGTGGGATTCCCCTTGTTTTTGTCTGTGGGATCCCCTTGTTTTGTGTCTGTGGGATCCCCTATTCCGGTGAAGCCAGGGTATAAGGATAGAGATAATGTAAGCTGGCAAAACTGGAAATTGAAGGTTCAATAAAAGTTAGGGGTAGGAATATATCAATGTAATTTAAGGTTAGTGCACTCAGGACATAAACACAATAAGCCAGCAGGTGTTGTAAATTTAGAGTTACACGATCGAATGATAGCTGTAAATTATGGGTTGGCCCATGGCTACATCAATGCTAGCTTAATATAAAACAGAAGGTTACAATGAGGGAATGATAGTGGGCGGCAACACACGACGAAGTCGGGTGTTGTCGCCAGGGCTAGCATACATAAAAAAGAAGGTTATAATGAGGGAATAATACCGGGCGGCAACACACGACGAAGTCGGGTGTTGTCGCCAGGGCTACCTTGAAAGAAGGATGCAATCTCAAACATGATCCTCTTTCTTCTATTTGTCTTTCTGCCGAGGTATCGCAGCTCCCGCTGACTTAAATAAGTCTACCGTACCGTTGCCTTCAATACTTGCTCCCATGATTGATAGCATATGTGTTCCATTCTTGTGCTCGCTAGTAGTTTTGCCATAGGGGACTCACCTCGCTAGTGGCGCTCTGACTGAGACAGCGATGATTGAATCATTCGGTTCCTGCCTACTAGGAATTCCCTCGGGTGTGTACCACTCTGTGTACTCACTTTTGTTTAGTCTTCATGCAATTCAATCATGTAGAGATCCACCAAGATTGCAAAGGCACGTTCCCCCAAATCCTCAATGGATGAGTATTTATCCTTCAACTTCGCCCCCTGCAATGGTGACTTGGGCTGCTTTCGTGCTTCAATAACATGATAAGGCAGCCCTATGAAGGCGCCAACTGCTTCCTCTTCAATAATTTTTCTACGTGTAGATTCCTCCTGCCCTGATGTGATCTTCGCTGCTTCCCCTTGCACTTTAATTGTAGCTGCTTTGTCTTCTTCCGCCTTGATGCTTGACGATTCCTTTTCTTCCACCTTGATTCTAGCTGCCTCTTCTTCTGCCTTCCATCTCGCTTCATCTTTTGCTCTCTTTCTCGCCACTTCCGCGGCTCGTTCCTTTAGACTTGCTGCCTTGGCTTCAGCCAGTGCCTTTGCATTCATCTTTCCCCCCTTGATTTTTGCCTCATCCTCTGCTTTAGATTTGATTCTAGCTTCCTCTTCTTCTGCCTTCCACCTCGCTTCTTCTTTGTCCCTCCGTTTCGCCACTTCCTTTGCTCGGGCCTTTAGATTTGCTGCTTTGGATTCAGCCAGTGCCTCTGCATCCATCTCTTCCCCCTTGATTTTTGCCTCATCTTCTGCTTTAGCTTTGATTCTAGCTTCCTCTTCTTCTGCCTCCCACCTCGCTTCTTCTTCTTCCCTCCGTCTCGCCACTTCCGCGGCGCGTTCCTTTAGACTTGCTGCCTTTGCATCAGCCAGTGCCTCTGCATTCATCCCTCCCCCCTTGATTTTTGCGACGGGATACAGCTTACAATTCAGCTTTACCGCTTTACAATTGGCAGGCTTATTCTAGAAAATAATCAATAACTGCTCACTTATTTGGAAATACAAACTTTACATCTCTTAGATCCCTAGATTAATCAATGCCACAATGGTATTGTCGCATGGTAGCATGCGAGGTTATGAGATGTTACTCATTCTTATTCTTATATGTCTATCCCTTATGGTTGTCAATGGAATGAGCTATCCCTTGATGCAGAGTCCTGAGTTCCTCTCATTATCTTCATCGGTAGTCCTTCCCCTTTATTGCAACTTAATTCCCTTGGATTCGCTCGCAAGCAATCCCTTGTCAACTTGCTGGATTCGCTCGTAAGCAACCCTCTTGTTCTTTATCCTGTCATCGACCAACATCGTGATGAGGATCCTATATACATGGACTCCTATGGAGTCCACCTTTCTTAATCCTTTGACGATCGTAATCTCAATGAGGATCCTATTATCTCGATCGCTGCAGGAGCGCACTACCTACTGCTACTGCTATTACTGTTATCTCTATCACCGGTAAAGCCTTGCCTCATCATCTCATCAGTCGATCGATCGACGGAGATAACAAGCTCATCTTCAGCACGGATCGAGGATCGATCGGCCGAGTTAACAGAATTCATGCGAAAAATGAGCTCCGACTGCATATATAAGGCTCGGCTTGTGTGTCATGCATTGAGTCATGCTTCATTACCCACTATTATCGATTCGAATTACCTGAGCTTAAGTCTTTTATTGAGTCATGCTTCAGTTCTCACTTTTTCATTACTCGTCGGAGAGGTACATTGATGTTGTTTCGAACGACCAACGGTACATTGATGTTGTTTCGAACAACAACACGGAACAGCGATGGAATCGATGGAACAACAACAAACTGCCGATCGATAACAACAAGCTCAGTCTACCTAGGACTGGCATTGGTCGTTTTGCCGGCTTGCAGATAGCTGGCTTGCAGTTGGTCGTTCGAACCATTCAAACGGAGCGAGTCCGCGAGCGAATCTTCGTTCGCTCGTCCGCTTGAAGGATTCATCGATCCCGAAGAAAGCTCATAAACTCCACTCCAGCTCATTGACTCGTTGACTAGCTATCCACCGCACTCCTCCTCTTGTTGCCGGTCCTGTTGCCCTCTTCACTTGCCGCTGTTGCCATTGCCTTTGCCCTCTTGTTGATTTTCACTTGATGGACCTTGACGACGCTTCCTTCTGCCTCAGCATCTCATCTTCAACAACAGCAGCATCGCCAGCACCAGCATCCTTGTTCAGTCCACAAGGCTTCAGACAAGCCTTCTTTGAATCTGATCCATCATCCCACCATCTGATCCTCCAATCATGACTGCAGCCCATTGACCGCAGTTCAATTCCAGGAGCTCCTCCAGCACATTGGAAAACCAAAGAGAAGACCAAGCTTACAGAAGCTCCTCGGCTTGGAGGTATCAACCACACTGGAGCCTGGACAGGATCCGGCTCAGATGGACTGGGAAAGGAACTCAAAGCAACCCTATGCCTCAGGGGTTTTCATGGAGACGACCATCTAAAACATCACACTACACTCCAGCCCATTGAATTGGCATGCAAGAAGGACTGAAGGATTCCCCAGTCTCCTATTCTCGACTTTGACTGAGTCAAATGCCTCTGGGTCCATGTTTTAGCCTCTCTCATCGCCTTTGAAAGTATGATGACTGAAGCATGGAATGGAAGGGGTCTTCCAGCTTGTTGTTGGAGATCTCATACCAACACTATTAATACAATCAACATGTTCACTGCTCCTGGACAGGTCTCAGAGTCTATGATGGAAAAATGGCATCAGGACCTCACAGTCAATGGGGTCGGACTCATCGATGCTGGAACTCTGAAGCAACATCCTGTTTGCCATATGATTTGACAAACCTTGCTGGTCAGGAAAGGCTGTTCTAAATTCTTGCACTGATGCTCTCAGGAAGAACTCAAATCATATGTTCCTCGAGCCAAACACAATGGGCCCCAACTTCTCTTGCTCTTCTGCAGAAAATATACAGACCTTCTCTCAGTAAGATTAAAACCTCAAAGCCAAAGCTACTTCACTTGGACATACCAAGTTCCCTGGGGAGAATGTTTCCATGTATGTTGTCGATGCAAGCAAGATCATCAAAGAAATTCGATTGAACTTCATGCCAGTGATCCATGCCTGAACATAACCAGCACAATCCCTGAGGGTCTCCTTGGCTGTGGTTGTTCCATACTTTCGATCCAAAGTCCATGAGTTTGTTGTCAAGAGTGACATCAACAGATTTGATAGCAACTATGGGAACAAACAATTGGAAGACTCGACACTTTGAATGACTTGGATGCCCTCTATCGGGTCCTATCAACCAGAAAACTTATAAGCCTGCCCAACATCTTGGATCCAAGGGATCCAAGGCCAAAGCCTTCAGGCAGCAATTGACAAAGCAGTTGAGGCAAAAGTTGGGAGTCTCAACCCAGGATCGAAACAGTGGATCAACCAGTGCGGTACCCGTCCTCGTGGAGGCGCCTGCTTTGATTGTGGAGCTACCTGATCATCATAGAAACGTCCAGCATGTCCCAAGCGAGTGCTCCCAAGGACAACGTCTGAGTGCTGAAACCAATCCAAACTCACAACTCTTATCAAAGACAAGCTTGCTTCCATGCCTCCAAGGAGAACATTCCCGATGATGCCAACACACCATTTCTGTTGATGGGAAGGTGGTTGCTAATACTGTCGCAACTGTGAAGTTTCTCCAAAGCACCAGTGCTCATTTCACCAGTGAACATCGTGGGTTCCCAAGTTTCCTTACAAGGCACCCTCTTCTGGTGGCACACTCCTCCACCACCGCTGCTCCAGCATCAGCCCTCAAATCACTGCTGGTGGCAACCTTGCTTCTTCCGCCATGGGATTTCCTATGTCCGCTGCTGTGTCCCGTTTCTAGCCACTGATGAGTTTATCACGCCGTCCCAATGTTGGGTATGATTTCGATTCCATGCAAGGTCAACATGGAACAGTGATCTAGTTCTGATGAGACCTCCGCTCTCTTCAGCTACCTTAATGGGGCTTTCATGTGATGCTTCGGCAGATAACACACTTGGCAACAGTGTTTCTCATTGCCTATTCTTTTGCCCATTTTTGCCTTTCTATCTCGGGTCTATTCCTTCTCATGTATTGGAGGGAGAAGATGAGTCTGCTATGCAGACATTTATCAAATACACTTCGAATTCCAGCCCTGATTCTTGGAGGGAGCAACCTTTCTTCAGTCTCACCGCTAAAATGGTGATGTTGTCTCTGTCCCATATCTTTCCCCACATATCCTCATTGGACTATTCTCCGGGTGCGGATGTGTGTTGTCTTTCTTTGGTTTTACAACTTGCTTCTAAAAGTTCAAAGGTTATACATTCTTCAGTGGCTCTCTTGCATCACCAAACTTGTTCTTCCACGCTTCAAATCGGCCAAAACATTTTGATCCGATCCAGACCCAGACTCATACTTGTCAATTCCCAAAATGATTCTTCGGACCTGTGTACACCGATGTCTCTTCTTAAAGCATAAATTAACTCTTAAGGACACCTATGTCGTCTCTTCTCAACCCCCAACTCCAACCAGGCTTCCTCGCAAATGTCGGGCCAACAGAACCCTGTCGAGATACAAGCTGATGGGCCTCCTTGGAGTCATTGGGAACTCAGTCGCTGGGGCACAATCATTCCAGCTCTCCAGTGATCTTGCCTTTAGAAAACAGCTTCGAAGCATATCGATCAATGCAGGGAGAACTGAAGACACACAGTCTCACGGCACCACACATGCTGGCTCTCCAACAACGCATCCAATCTTCTAATGAATCCTTTGCCAAGTCACTTCTTATTGCCCATATGTCTTAAGTGCTATTGTTGATAGTGGATGTTCCTTTTCTTGCACCAATACTTTCGAGTGATGTTGACCCAAATTTTATCAGAAAGCTTTCCGAACCAATTATCCTAAGAGGTATCGCTGGAGGTCTGAGCATTGAATACATCGGCACTACTGATTGGGGGACTTTGGATGAGCAAGCAAAGTTGTGTCATTTCGGGAGAAGGTTCTTATTCATCCTGATCTTCACCAAACAGACTCCTAAGCCTCAAGCTTTCTTGTCCCATCAAGGACTTGACCCAAAACATGCAAACTCAGCGATCACTTCAGAGTCTACCACGACCATGCTGAATGCATACGGGAGGAAAGAAAATGCTACAAATGAAGTTTGACTCCAGTTTTCTACCACGACTTACTCTGTTCCCAAAGGAAAGGCATCTCTTCTCTACAAGCAATGACTTCAGTTCACATACCAACAACAGGAAACCTTTCTATTTTTGACAAAATCTGGCTGCAATGGCATTACAAGTTGGGACATCTGTCCTTCTCCCATGTCCAATCTCTTGGGTTGGGTGGTTTCTTAGACAAGAAGGGTCTCGGTTTGCTTAGAAGCAGGTCGGGGAGCATCCTAAATGTGCCGCTTGTCAATATGGAAAACAAGTCAGGCAACATGATCACACCACTGTCACCAAGAGCTCCCAGACAAACAGGGAGCGCTCAAGAAAGAACAATTGGAGCCGGGTTGACAACCTTTAGTGATCAATTGGAGTCAAGAGTCAGAGGGAGATTGTTTCATACTGCCGGAAGAAACAAGATAGAATAAATTCTGTGGAACCTCAATATTTTTGTGATGCTGCATCGGCTGTCATCTTTGCCCACCACCAAGTTACATTAAATGCTTTCTGAATTCTATCTATGGCCAAGGAAGCATACGACGATGTTGTCTCGAACATGGGGTTTGTGTTCAATCATTATCACACTGACAATGGCATCTACAAAAGCAAGCATATGTCCAACATCTTAGGGACCACCATACAATCAATAAATATTCTGCGCCGGTGCCAAATGGCAGAATGGGGTTTTTGAGGGAGCCATTTAGAATTGTAGTAACCAAGCTAGAA